CAGAAACTGAAAAGAAAGCCTCTCTCCTCAATGTTTTAAAGACCTTGTTGAATAGCAGAAACACTTGCTTGTTGGCAACAGGTTATCTGGTGTTTTTGTGAATACAAAGTTGCCTCAGTTTCATTATCTGTTCACCTCATACATCCTACATGTGACTCCACGTGACCTTTTCTACTCCAGGTTAAATAAAACATTTTATTTATTTGGAACTTTAAAAAGCCTCTCGTGTGCCATTTCAAAACCAGAAGCTTTAGACAAACAAATAAGAAGTAAATAAATAAAGGGGCTGCTCAGCAACAAAGAAGACAGAAGGGAAAATCCTGTATGTGAGGGAGGGAAGAGAGTGAGATTGACATAGCTTGCTTACAAAGCCATCCTGGCTGCACTAAGAGAATGAATTGGCTATGATCCATGAGGTCATCTCTTCCATCTCACCTCTGCCACACCCTCACTAGTTGGCCGTTGGCATGCTGGGCTCCCAGCCTCAGTCACATATCTGCAACACGTGGATAACGATACTGGCCTACTGGTGTAAAGATTATAAGGCAATGTGAAAACAGTGCTTTGAACTTTATCTAGAACAGACCATTCTTCTTCAGCTTCTTATTCTAGAGACCCACCAGCCAACATTACCTGTGTCCTGTCTGCATTGAGTTTCTGTTACTTTCAGAGTGCTCTTGATACAACCAAAGCTCTCTCTAAGCTATGGAGTCCTGTGAGCAAAAATTCTACTTTCTGAGCTACTGGCATTAAGGTTGTGAACAAGTGATTTGGTTACTGCATAAATTAGTTTGCTCTGGAGCCACCCTTCCTGAGCTAACACAAAACTGTGTGAGCTGGAGGCTCAGCTTAGACGGAACACTGGATACAACTCCCATGGATGATATAAGCATAGCATCAATGCTTTTTCCCCGTCTTTGTTGTATATGCAGTTCAAGCAAAGCAGCCAAGGGAACAAGAACTCACCTAATACACCCGATAAACAGACATACTATTTGAACCATGGACACTTTCCCGCACAGCAGTTAACCGCAGAAGTCACATCCACCACTAGGGTGGAGCTTTGCATACTACATTGTTTTTTACCACTATTGGTATTATTGCTTTCTGCATATCGCAATATCTACACCTATGGCTAATAACTATTGTAGCATGGTGTTGTACCACTTCAAACATAACTTAACACTACTGTTGGTTTACCACCAGAAGCAGTAATAACAGCTTAATTCATAGTTAGCTCAGCCTTTCTCGGACCACTCTGAGAAAGTCTGGAGTATTTCAGAAAGTTCTGTGAGAAAGTCTGGGAAAACCAAGTATAAGAGAACTGCCTTTTCCCAAACTAAACTGGGGCAATGAAGGCTCCTGACCAAGTTCAGAAACATACACTGCTACTGGGCATTTTAGTTCACTGGCTTCCTAGCAGTAATGGATGCTTCCCTAACTCCATCTCCCTTACCCCTCATTGGGTGGAATCAAATCAAGCTGGTTCAGATTTCAGCCAGGATATGTAACAGGCTAGAGGGGATATCAGTGCAGAACCCTTCTCAGTTACAAGACATGGCACCATTACTAGTTATCAACTGTCAGAAAAGGCAAGCCTGCAATCTGAAGCAGATTTCCCTAAGAGTTCTCACTGCTACAACTTCCAATCCAGTCCCATCTCTCAGCAGTAGTAGAGACTTTTAATAGACAGACTGCAGACTTTCAAAAAGCAGCACCGAACATATCATAGCATTAAAACTAAAGCTGTTAATTAGACCAGGTTTTCAGAAACAACCGAGATTTCTTTGAGAGGAGGTTGCTCTGAAAACTTAGTAGTTGATGTCTCCTTATATATAATTGTGAAGTGGGGTGGCACTTTCTGAACATTCCACACGCTCCTAAATCAGTTGGCTCCATGATGTGTCACTCAGAAGCTGTCCCTATCCACTGGCTGCATTGCCTGAGTGTTGCCTCCAACATTCTAAACCGTTTGCTGTCCCCCCCCCCCCCCCCAGCCAGTCAGAACACAGAGGTCGTTTGCATATGCAGCCTGATTGCCTCTAACATTCTAATCAGTTTGCTGTTGCTGTTGGGAGTCATTGAATGTGTCCTGAGGTAAAATACATATCCTAATCTTCCCTTAAATGGTCACTGGAGTTGCCAATCTCCCTGTGGGGCCTGGAGATCTCCCAGAAATCACCATGTTCCCTAGCCACAGCACATCATTTCCCCTGCAGAAAATTTCCCAACTATTACAACTGATGTCCAGATGACCAAGATCAGTTCTCCTGGAGACAATGGCTGCTTTGGGCAGTGGACTTTATGGTATTATACCCTGCTGAGGTCCCTCCCCACCCCTTCCCGCCCCAGGCTCTACCCCTCAAATCTACAGGTATTTCCCAACCCAGAGTTGGCAACCCCGTAACTGGCTATGAAACCGCTTTCCAGACCCTTGGAACCCAGAAGACACGGCATAGGAGGAGCTGGGTTTTTTACTTTAGCTGTCACTGCATAACCCCAAATCAACATAAGTCAGGGGTGGAGGGAACCATACGTGTTACCATGAGGCTGTCCTCCCATACTACCCGCTTGAGGCAGCAAAAGGACTTGAGACAGCCCTGCCTTAAAGCTAAGCAGAAGGAAATAAACATGGCTTGCCTCCCTCTATTCTCCACTTCCCTCTGCCGCCCCACCAGCCACAGCCGGGACACCCACCTGGAGCTTCCTTCTAGAGCTCGTTGTATTTCTTCCCACAACAGGCATTACTCCTAGTTACTTCATAATTAAGATCTGTTCATTATGGAGAGCCAGTGTGGTGTAGTGGTTAAGACCACAGACTCTGTCTGGAAGAATAGGTTTCATTCCCCACTCCTCCACATGCAGCTGCTGGTGTGACTTTGGGTCAGTCACAACTTCTTTCAGAGCTGTTCTCTTAAGAGCAGTCCTCAAAAGAGTTCTCTCAGCCCCAGCTACCTCACAGGGTGTCTGTTGTGGGGAGGGGCAGGGAAAGGAGATGGGAACCCATTCTGAGACTCCAAGTGAAGGGCAGGGTATAAATCCAAACTCTTCTTTTCTCTGTTAAGCCACTTTGGGGGGGGGGGTGTTTGCACAAACTGTATATGTCTGTCCAAAGATTTTTAACATTTTGTTATTTTTTGGTTTAACCTGTAATTTGTATATCTCTAATTTAAAATAATAAACAGACACGTTCTTTTTAAAAAAGAACCACAGCTGATGTCTTTATGCTAGAGGCATCAGCAACTTCTATTAGAATTTTTCTACCTCAATTTCTGTTCAAAGCACTGGTCTCCAGGCACAACAGTGGTTCTAACATTGTGACTGAGGCTCTGCATAGGCTGAAGAAATAAGTATGCTTGCTTATCTTGGCATGATCTGCTTTGTTAAGACTTTTGGAACTTAAACACCTCTCAGATTTCAAATGCAGGAAAGTCTATTAGGCCAGCCCAGCACAACCCAAATCTCTTCAAATACTCAGAAGGGCATCCATTTAAAGTAACACAGAGAAGAAGCTCTCCAAGATCAGAAATTAAGACCGCTCCAGCACTAAGCTTCAAGGCTGTCCTAATTTCTCCACTTGTTTCAATTGAACTATAGGCATTTCCAGTATCTTCTCATATCTTTTGGTTATTTTTAACAGGCCACTTTGTTTTCCTGAGGAAGGATGAAAGCATTCAGGACACACTGTGCCTATGATTTACAATACAGATATTCAGCCTCACCTACCAAGTGGATAGATTCACTCTTTCTGGATGATGCCTCCTCTGATCTCCCTACAATTACATTTCCTGGATCACAGAACAAAGCTGTGTGTACAGTGGAAAGAGACATATTTTCATAATTGCATTAGTACAAGCTTAGCAGTGGTGAATTAAAGTTGAGAGCGTTAGTTTCTGGGTTTCCACATCTGACAGCTGTCTTTGAAATTCACAAAATAAGCATGCTACTGATACTGTATGATACTCCACTTGCATTTTGATGATGACGGTTTTGATTCGTACAGAAAAGGCTTTCTGCAGCCCTTCCAGGAGCTTGGCAGTTGAGCAGAGCACAACGAAGCAGGTCCATGGCCAAATTTTGCTTCCATCTTCAAAATGCTCATTGTGTTTCAGAAGGAAGACAAGGAAATAATTTACAGGAGTAGGAATGGGAGAGGCAAGATAGAAATCCTATGACTGAACCGGTTTCAGATATGAAGCTATAGTTCAATGAAAGCCCGAAACAGTTCCTTTTAATATGCAATAATGAATTAAGAGGAACACCAGTTCCTATACAGCTCAAAGATCCTTTTGATCCTGTGTGGCTTCAGACATTCTGTATCAGTTTGCACAAATTTTTCACCTCATTCAGCCCATTATATAGCAATAACACACACTCAAAAGACTTTATGAAAAGGAAAACCAGTATAGAGCCTTGCTTAAGGGTAGACAGAGAAGCAGAGGCAGCTTGGAAGTGAAATTGGACAGTTACACTGCTCCCCCCACCCAAAAAAAAGTATTTCCTAGGAATGATATAGGTTTTCAATTTTCTGTTCACATCATGGATTAGAACAATGGTTGATTTAATCCTGCATGCTGCTTTCCACAGAAGTCAACTAGAAGGCCCAGGAAAGCACACAGGGACACAAAGGCACCGATGTTTCAGTTATTGCCAGCAGCAACTGCTATTAAAATATACTGTCTTTGAAAGGGGAGGTCCCATGTAGCAATCTAAGCTAGTGGACATCACTAAGTACTCTGACAGTGAGTTCCACAATAAATTATGCAGAAAGCATGGTGGCACACTGGAAGCAGATCCTTCCAAAAGTTAAAAAAAGAGGTCTGCAGGGAATTGCAACCCACTGAGGGCCTAATTCATGGGCTGAATGTTATCCAAGACATTCTCCAAGTAGAATTGAAGTGTTTTTCAAGTAGAAAATAGAAAACACCACAGAACGCTTTCTGCTCTTTATAGGATACATTTCAGAAAGGACTAACGGAAACAAAATAAAAGGCTGTAAGTACTTTTTGTAGCTGGTTTTAATTTGGGGGGAGGAAACCTTATTTTTCACTCATAGTTCACATAAGCATTTTAGCTAAATTGTATTTTGAATCAGCGATCACATATTTTACGCAAATGCCCATGTCTAGAAATTCTTGTTTCACAAAAGATGACAGTATTAAGATTTCAAGTTCACAATTTTATTAAGCCCCAATAAGCTCTTTTCCAGAACATGATTGAAGTGCCATGTGCAACAAAATTCAGTATTTCCTGGATGATTAAGCGAATGAGTTGTGCGGATAGCTTCCGGAAGACCTAAGGACCTTCATTTTGTGCAGCTTGTAAAGGGAGTAAGTTTGTTCTTCAGTAGTCTGGGCCTTCTTTTTTCAGCTTTTTGTAGTCCATGTTAACTGCAACAAACTAAAGAGAAAGATATTAAGACAGGAATCATGCTTGTATAAAAATGTTACATCTAGTTTTCTGTGGATGTGTGCTATTTCATACTTTCTTGCATCGTTAGGGCCTACAGTTACAGATTCATTACCATGAGTCTATTGCACTATCTTTATCTCCATTTATTTCTACAGACATGTCACTCCTGCATGGCCTGCAAGCTTCAATTCTCCTTTAATCCCTAGATTTAGAACTCTGCAGTGAATCACTATACAGTGAAAGAGCCTTTTGCAAAAGCATCATAGTTACAGTCAAAGTTGTCTGATTTCAATGATCTAAACGGACAACATACCTCTATTGGTCAGCTGTGGGGGATAGAGGAGGAAGCTGTTGTAACTGTGTTAGACAGGCAGAAGCAGTGGCACTGAAGGTGGTTGGGGAGACGGAGGAACTACTGACACCATCATTCCCAAGACTAGTGGGGAGGGGAATTGGTGGGCAGGCAGAGTGATGGGTAGAGCAGTCAGGTGGGTAGAGTAGCAGGCAGGGGTTGAGCAAGAATCCCTCTCAAATTTTTGGCTGGTTCCTATAGGTGGAACAGCACAACACCAAATACTAGATCTATTTGCTGCATGTTCTAGTGTCATACAATCTCATGTTGTAACTTCTAAAGAATGCATAATAAATACTTTCAAAATCAACAAATTGTGTAATTTTTGAAAGTATATTATTAAGCATTCTTTAGAAGTTACATCCAGAGATATTTTACATAGTTTCTATTTTGTGGTTCATATTTTATACTGTGTATCTCACTTTTGTTTTGTATACAATCTCATGTGGCATAGACACCACCACAGTTCTGCGAAATTCAAGCCATCTGAAAGCAGAATCCATTTGAGCTCACAAAAAGGAAGAAATCTTTGCATTTACTTCTACAAAAGTACTACAATGTTAGTAAAGTTAAGAATGTACTATTAATGGCCCTTGTTCTCCAGAGTGCAGAAAACTCTGTACCTATGCTAAAACACTTTGAGCAGAATCAGAAAATTGATTTAAAAATTGCAGCCAATTAATTGCATACGTTTTAATCAATTATATGTGCATATATAAGCTTTGAAGAAATGCACACTATTTTGAGATGATGCATGACTGTGTCATGGCGGGCATACACATGAATGCACAATGAGTTTCAGCATCCCTCAAATAGTTATCCTCCTACAGTTCTTGGAATAATGTTCTGCCAAGGAAGTGTTACTAAAACATCTGAAGTTATTTTAAGGCAAGTCTACATATTTATTCTTTCCACAAGCCTTTATGGCTCCTTTTAGAAACACAGCTGGATGACATCTTTTATACAAAACCAAATATGGGAGAAATGAAGCTAAGATTGCCTTAACTGGTAGGCTGTTACACAAGTGCAGCTGGCTTACACTGAATCTGCTTACAAGACATTTTTGCGTGACTCCAAATGATTCTCTCAGACAATAAAAACACAGAGACCATTTTCAGATTAAATAAACTAGTTCAGGGCATATAAGATCTACTCAGGTAGTTTAATTTAATTTTAGAATTCTTTTGCAAAAATGGCACATTCCCTACTGGAATCATTAAAAAATGTCCACATTTTGAGGTACAAGATAATAAAAATCTAAGCCAAGTTGGATCTTTGAGCTTCAGATTTCAAAGCCTCCCCCCCACCCCCCCAACAGTCAAGAATCAGGAAGTGGCTAGAATTCTACATTTACTTAGGCAGAAACATTTACAAAAAATGAATTTTTAAAGTAAAACAACAAACATTCCAATTCAAAACCCGAGTGTGAGCCTATATGGCATTTCTTTTCTTTGGCACACATTCATGATCTTACAAAAGTTTTATTTTGGATTTTACTATAACTAATGATTACAATAATGCAGGTTTATATTTCCTTTTACTTTGAACACCCTTAGGGGAGGGGCTGTGGCTCAGTGGTAGAGCATCTGCTTGGTATGCAGAAGGTCCCAGGTTCAATCCCCAGCATCTCCAGTTAAAAGGACCAGGTGATGTGAAAGACCTCTCTGCCTGAGACCCTGGAGAGCTGTTCCCAGTTTGAACAGACAAAAATGATCTCATTCAGTATAAGGTAGTTTCATGTGTCCAATGCATTTGAACTGTCTTTGGTTCTCGTTCAAGAGAGTTTACAGCTGACCCAAACCATGTTAATTTACAAACCAGAATTCATTCTACAGATACATGAAGCCAATATAACAGACTGGAATTAGCTTAGCTAGAAATATTTTCAGGTCAACATTCTGCCAAAGTGATATCTGTATTTCTTAATCCAACTAACGCATTTTGCCATTTGACGGTTCTACCTCAAAATATTTTAAACTAGTTCTATGAGACCAGATGAAGCTAAAGAAAGACATGCCAGTTATAAACCAAAGCATGACATCTGTTATATACTGTTTTGTCTCCAAGAGTACTTTCTCTACCCAAAATCCCATTTGTAATTTCATCTGAAGGAATGTCTGAAAACCAGCCAAGGAAGTGACCATTAAAAGGCTGAAGCTAATGCCATATAAGATAGAAAGGACATTAATGGGAAATCTACTGCTCTAGGACGCAACCATTTTACCAAAGAAGGATGCAGCCTGGGAATATTCCTGAAAAAACAAGTATCAAGGCAACTTCTAACAGTAATATACCAGCTACATCCTTTGGGGTGGGAGGGCTGGGATCTTGCTACTATAATTTACGTAGCCTCTCGGATTGACTACCACAATGAATTCTGCACATAGAAGATATACCACTGATATAAATTAAGCAGCTTTTACCTATGGACATTGATCTCATGAGGGTAGGGGGTGTCATGAGATGGGAAAAGCAAGGAGCTTTTCTCCATATATTCTCTCTCTCAATATTCCCTCTCTCTATGCAGCCCTTCCATCAACTTTGTGTAACAGACTTGTTCAAGCACACTAGAGTTGAGGTAAGGGGAGCAGCAATAAGCTATAATGCTACAGTAGTCCCACAGGAAGAAAAGCTACTTTTGTTTTCAAGTAAAAGTTTTTCTTTTCGGTCCAGAGTGGTCAAAGACCTATACAATGGAATCACGAGCTCTGACAGAGAATCTGCATCACTTCAACCAAAAAAGGAGAAAAACACAACCCTGCACGAGAAAGGTAACCGAAAAGGTTGAGACCAAAAGAATGAAACTGAGATATAATGTAAAAAAAACATATATAATTTAATTATACATTCAAAAGTGCTAAAATATCATCTAAAAACCACAATACTACGGTTCTGCATATAAGTACCTATTCCCGATATGAAGACAAATGTCCATTCATATAAATACAGGTTAAAAGGTACAAATTATAGCCATATACAAGAACCAATACCAAAACGCATTTTGGCTAAAAGCCTTTCTCAGTGGTAACATTCAGACTGAGCACTCCATAAATTGAACAAAAATATACATAAAACTCATCATATACAGCATGGACCTTACACTGAGTTCACTCGATCACTCGTGGAGTTAGTGGTGATAAACATGGGCAACTCCTCAAGATGTACAATATTTCATATGCCCATTGATCTGCTTAGGCTCAATCTACAGTGCTCAAAGTGCCAATGGAGTACTCAGGTACAATTAGAGAAGAATCACAGTTTCTTTAACCTATATTTATATGATTGGACATTTGTTTTTATATTAGGAATAGGTACTTATATGCAGAACCATAGGAGTGTGGTTTTTAAATGATATTTCAGTACTTTTGAATGTATAATCAGAGATTTTGCATCATACCTTGTACTGGTCATTGGGTCCCAGCTTGTTCCAAGGCTCTGGATTATTCTTCTTGTCCCAACTACACAGAAAAAGATAACAAAAGTATATCTTAAAGCAACCACTACACTTTCATAAAGTTAATACCATGTATGGCATAACCATTCATTAGACATGGTCCTGGAAATTCTCACTAACGTAACTGTGCCCTGCCACCTGCCACCATTTATAAGTACAGAGATCTTCTGCAACTCAGGTTATAACAATGAAGCACAGTCCATTTTAACAACCATATTTTAAGATATCATTTAAAGCCAAAATGATATTATCACAGAAATGTGAAGTTTTGCTGCTGTTTAGCGTGGATGGTGGCAGTCTGTAATGAAATGAAGAGGGATTCTTGTAACTAAATCCTGCATACTCTATAAGCAATAAACTGGCTAAAAGTTCCTATTTAACCTCTGTATTATAATTGGTTACTTTATTTTAAACTGTGCATATTTGGGGGGAGGGGAGAAGAGCCCTGAAAACCCTTTTTTAGTTGTTCTTTACTACGTGCAATATATAACCACATTTTACAGCTGAAGCATTATCACTACGTTTCAAATTGAGACTGCTAATGAGAAAGTTTTATGCTATAACAGGCCACCTTCTACTGCACAATTAAATGGAAACACCACTTAAGAAATCCTACTTACCAAACATCAGGATTGAAAACAGCCAGACGCAAGAGGTACAAGGCTGCACCAGTTCCTCCAGCACCAATGAACAGGAAAAGAGGAACCAACTATAAGAAATTAAAAAATTGTGATGTTAAAGTAAGGGCAAATCTCAAAAGTTATGATGTATCTAGCCAATCTGTAAACCATACAGTGATACACAATAGGTAAATACTTAGGGATGAAAAAAATGGAAGTATGTGGCAATATGGAAGGGGCATATTGGGAGGGGCATACTGGCTGGCAACAACATACTAAACCTGCCAATAATCACAAAGAAGACAAAAAGAGTTATGGGTAAGAGGTATGAGTTCCGTAGGATGCAGTACTGTTTCCACACAATTTTTTTTTCTACTGGAGGCTTTCCTAATCTGCTCCCATGGCAATTTTAGACATGCCAAACACCTTCATACACTTCTAGGGAGGCACCCAAGGGCCAGCAAATCCGCAGCACACCTATATCATTCAAACAGGGTTTCAGGCTGAAACAACACTCAAAGGAGCATGGGAGGGACGAAGGGAGGGAGGGAGGTGTTGACTTCTCTCCAACAAACTCCAAGCCGTAAAATACTTTTTAAAAAACAAGTCCAGCCACATCAGGCTAGTTTACATTTTGTAATGTATCCCACTCAGACCGCGTGGCCTGCTTGGGTTCCACGGGGTCAGGGTCAGAAGCAAACGAGCTTCGCTCAAAGAGACAATGGACTATGCGGATCATAGCCGCACCAAAGAAATCCTAAAAGAAATCAACCCTGACTGTTCCCTGGAAGGCCAGATAATGAAACTGAAGCTCAAATACTTTGGCCACCAAATGAGAAGGGAGCACTCACTGGAGAAGATCCTGATGCTGGGAAAGATTGAAGGTCAAAGAAGACGGGGACGGCAAAGGATGAGACGGTTAGACAGTGTCATAGATGCAACAAACATGAAATTGAGCAAACTTCAGAGGACGGCGGAAGACAGGAGGGCCTGGTGTGATCTGGTCCATGGGGTCGCGAAGACAAGCCGCACCAATCAGGGAGCTAGGTTCGCGGCAGAGAGCCTATGGAACCTATTTACCTATGTACCTACTGTAACGCTCTCTACATGGGGCTGCCTTTGTCGCAAATCCGGAAGCTGCAGCTAGTGCAGAATGCTGCGGCCAGGCTGTTGATGGGTCTTCCTAGAAGGGACCACATCTAGCCTGTGCTGAAAGCGCTGCACTGGCTGCCAATAGCGTACCGGATTTGTTTCAAAGTGCTGGTTCTTACCTTTAAAGCCCTATATGGTCTGGGTCCAGCTTACCTAAGGGACCGCCTTTCCTCATATGTTCCCCCCCGAGCACTTCGGTCCGGGACCCAACATCTCCTGGCAGTGCCAGGTCCCAAAGAGGCCAGGCTGGCCGCTACCAGGGCCAGGGCTTTCTCGGTGGCGGCTCCTATCTGGTGGAACGAGCTCCCGGAGGAGATCCGGGCCCTGCGGGACCTTGTGCAGTTCCGCAGGGCCTGTAAGACGGAGCTCTTCCACCAGGCGTATGAGTAGGAGCCGCCACTACCATCATCATTATTCCATCTTCACCTGGCCCTGGATGAGGGAACATCAATGCTTCCCTGGAGCAGACGATGCTGAACAGTTCAAATATGCCATCTCTGAAATTTCATGTAGAACATCTAGAGCACTTTAGTCAGTAACTCGTTATGAATGTTTTGTACTGTTGGATTTTAAATGGTTTTAATTATGTTTTATATTGGCGTTTGCCCCTATGTAAGCCGCCCTGAGCCCGCATTGCGGGGAGGGCGGGGTATAAATTGAATTAAATAAATAAATAAATAAATAACCTATTGGGAAGTGGGGGGGGGGGTTTTGGGTGGCGGTTTCCAGGGGAATATAAGCCGACCTGCGAGCTGGCCAAGGTGTCTTGTTCCTGATCGAATAAAGTACGCTTTGCTGAAATCACTCTCCGTCTGCGTACTTTTCACATTTGGGGTGCTTTCAGACGGGGCCTTTCTGCCGGCATAAACTGCACCGGTTGGAACGCGATCACACTTACCTCCATTTTGCGGATCCCATCGTTGTATGCCCGGTCACACGCTGCGTTTTGTATTTTTAAAAAACACAGTTTGAGCATGCGCATAGGCAGCCATTCACAGAATGGCGATCTTTGCGCATGCTCAACCCCCCCATTACATTTAAACTTTAAAGGTAAGGACTTACCTTTAAAGTTTAAAGCCCAAACTGGCCTCCCTTAAGTCCCGGACTCCTCCGGATAGTTAAAGTAAGGGCTTTTTTTAAAAAAAACAAACGCTCAGGGCGAAGCTTCGCCCAAGCGCATATCGCTCAGTTTAAAAAAAAATGGCGGGGGAAGAACGGAAGCCTCAGGCTTCCGACGGAAATGGCTAGGCACCAGTGGAGAGCGATCAGACAGCAAGGTACAGCGTTTACAACCGTTGCACTCAGGATACCACCACTTGGGGACCTAGTGGCAGAGTGCAATGGTGTAAAAGGCTTTACACCGGTTAGGGACAGGAGGCAGATGTTCCCCGTCTGAACGCCGGTGAACGACTGCAACCGGCACCTATACCGATGTAAAGCCCCCGTCTGAACGCACTCTTGGTGTAGAAAAACATCCCATGGATGAAGTTATTTAATCAAGAACAGGATGGGAGGGGCGAGGGGGGGTTCATACAGCAAACAGAGCAGGAGATTAAACGCAGCCCTTTCCATCCTTCCATGGGTTCGAATCAAAAGAGCAGAGCACCCTTCGCAGATGAGGGCAGCATCAACCACTCCTCCCGTGACGGCGTGGAAGGTAGGAACACTCGCGCTTAGCCGAGTTCACGACGCCTCATCACTTCGCCATCATGTACCCCACTCCGAGAGAAATGAAGATTGTAGGGGAAGACAGGTTGCTTAACTACCGTCTCAAATGCGTATTTTCAAGCCTCCTCCGAGCTCGGAGGTAACCTGCCGTTCTCTATCTCTCACTCACTCACTCACTCACTCACTCACACAGACGCAAGACCGCCCACTGCAGGGAAGACTACAGCGAACGAAGGAGCCTGCGCCGAATCGCAGCGCTTCATCAACAGCCTTCCTACCCCACCCCAATGAAAACAGCAGAAGGGGAACCTCAGCTGTCCGGGGTTCATTGCCACATATAAAACTCTCTTCCCTACTTCCGCGGGTGGCCAGAAATGAAGGAACGAAATTTCTCTAGCTTTAAAAACAAAAAACCTTTCCCACTGCTAGAAGGGGCGGGGGGAGGGTTGTAAATGGGGGAAGATGTGTGCGAGGACCGGCGCTCGCCTCCGCCAGCCCCAGAAACACTCACGCTTGGGTGTTTTTTAGCATGGCTCATCATGAGGCGGAACATGGCGACGAATTGTCCAAGGGCCGATCCGCCTCCTCTTCTACCTCAGGTCGTCTCTGCTATTCTTGAGAAAAGCCCAATGTCACTTGAGGACCCCTCAACCCTCTTCCGAGGGCCTGCTGTGGTTGTCCACCACGGCGCCTTGTAAGAGTTCTCCATTGGGAAAGCACTCGCCGCCCTGACTCGCGCGCTCAAACAGATGATATTAACGGCGCGATGAGTTCGATTTGAGATGTTAATTTCCTAATTTGTCCTATAAGCCACTGTACGCCTCACTCCGCGCACAAGAAACAGGCAATGGGTTAGACACTAGCAAAAGACGACCGCAAGAGGGGAATAGCGCATGTGTGAATTTGAATAGGAAAACAAGGGGGAGAGGCGGTGTTGTTTTTCCATCCGTGAATTGGCATTGGTGGGTTTTATCGCCGTGGTGATCGCTGGTGCGAGTTGGAACGTCCTTTAGCGAGGCGGGCGTTCGCTGCGGGTGGGTGCTTGATGGCTCTCGCCATTGCGCTTGTATGGATAACAGTCCTGAGCACTTCCAAGTGGACTGCAGACTTAGTGTTTAAATGCCGCAGGACTCCTGCTTCGCTTTTCTGTTACTGACTGGCAAAATGTATTCCAGTGCATAGGCGTAATCTTCGTGGGGGCGGCGGGGCTTCAGCCTCTGCCGAAATTTTCAGGAAGGTGCTCAGCCTCCCCCGGGAGCCACCCTTGCTCCTAGCACAGCAATGCCTCTGGCCCAGCCCCAGCCCCCCCCCCCCGGAAATTGGAAAGTCTACACCCTTGTTCCAGTGTAAGATCTTTTGGCTCATGAAAGCGTATGCGGTATGCTACAATCGGTTTTGTTCGTCTTCAAGGGGCCACGGGACTCGAGTACAGTAGGTGTCACATTCCTCTTGCACACAAGAAGCGTCGCTGTGGAACGCCTGAGTCCAAAAATACCAGAGTTTTGTAGTACCTTGAAGACTACCGACTTTATTGCAGCACAAGCTTTTGTGAGCCAGAGCCCACCTTGTCGGATGCGTGACCTGTTAGATGCAAGTGGTCAGGGGTCATTTCGTAGAAAAAGAGCTGCAGGAGCTCATTAGCATAACTTATTAGCATATGCCACACCCCCTGACATCCCCGGAAGTGTGCACCAGCCCCTCTGACCCGCAGAAGCACCTGGGATCCATTCTTTCCCCCCCTCTCCCTTCCCTTCGCCTCCAAGTCCATCAAAGGGGAGGGGGAGGATCTCAGGCGCTTCTGCCTGACAGAGGGGCTGGGGTGCCCACAGCCAGCCTTGGTGAATTATACACTCATACAATCATAGACTCAAAGAGTGGGAAGGTACCTCCAGGGTCATCTAGTCCAACCCTCTGCACAATGCAGGGAATTCACCAATATCCCCCACACCCCAGTGACCCCTGTTTCACGCCCAGAATATGATTTTTAAAAAACCCTCCAGGATCACTGGGGGCCAAACTGGCCTGGAGAAAAATTGCTTCCTGGCCCCAAAGTGGCGATCAGCATTTCCCTGGGCGTGTAAGAAAGGGCCACAAGAACTAAGCACTGATGCAACCCTTCCTGCTCTACCTCTCGTGATTTGTCTAAGTTCACAAAATCAGCATTATGATCCTTTTAAAGTTGAAAGCATGATATAAATGCAAAGGACTATTTGTAAGATTATCTGTAAGACACAAGACCAGGACGCATCTCACTTCTGGCAATCACTTGGAGAGACCCTATCACTCAGCTTCCATTGCCCCCCACACACCCCACACTGGAATAAGAACATAAAATCAGGCCATACCACATTGCAATAAAGCCCCTACAACTGTATACAGAAATACTGAGCTTCCCTACCATTTGCCACAACTAGCCCACCACACAACCAGGATCAAGACTCCTAAGTGGACCAACAGACAGGCATACACTGGTTTGAGAAACTGAGTATTACATTACAACACCTCTGGAACATTACAGATCAGTAGAGGCAGCACTGCAAAGTGATCAGAGTTGCAGATTGATGTGGGGAGACCCAGGTTTGTATTCTCACTCTGCTGGCTGAGTGACCCCGGGCCAAATCTCCCCTTCTCTACCTAACCTACCCCACAGGGTTGTTGTGAGGATGAAATGGAGACTCATGGGCAGGGTCCCCAGCTTCCCTGGCAGGAACACTATGTTAAGAAATCTCTCACAATTATGCAGCCATAGCAGGCAGGAGGGAAGGAGGCGAATACCTCCAGCGCCAGAGACTTGTAGAAGAAGAGTCAAACTTTGGGGACTCACCCGTGCACCAGAGGGCCAAGGCAGCAGGAGGCAAGAAGCCTGGGCGAGCTGGGCTCCTCCATGCCTGGCAGAAGATGAGGTGCAGAGGTGAGAGGTGGGCAAGCAGAAGAGGCACTCAGCCAGCCGCACAAGCTACTTGCAAAGAAACTCCCGCCGCTCCAAGCTTCAGGGCTGCCTCGTTAAAGGAGTGCGGAGGCCAGACTCGCAAATGAGAAAAGGCAAGCTCAGGGTTCGTGGGTCGCATTTTGGGCTGTGGAAGAGGAACCAGCTCCATTCCTGGAGTTCTCTTGAGTTCCTGCACTTTTGGTTTTGCTTTTTGCCAATCCGCCTCCCAAGACTGCTCCAGGTGCTCCGGCCTGAGGGCTGCTGGGGGCGGGGCTCGAGTGCTCATTACTTGTGGAGCTGAGGCTCAATGTCTCCATCTGCTCCACCACCTTCCCTTCCCTTGGTTTGCTCGGGGAGCCCGAGCAAGCCGGCTGCTGGAGGGAAGGTGAGGCGGTTTAAACCACCTTCCCTTGGCTTCCTCAGGATCCCCTGATCTGAATCGGCTTCCCGCAGTTCGGCCCCATTATATCCTATGGGCCATTGAAGTCACTGGCGAAAACATAGGGTATATTCTGGGGGCTGGAGGAGAGGGGGTTTGAGGGAGAGGCTCCAAAATCACAGGGTAGCTGCTGGAGCCTCTCCCCAAGATACCCGCCATGTTTCAGGAACATTGAACCAGGGGGTCCAATTCTACGGGCCCCCAAACAGGTTGCCCCCATCCCCTCCATTGTTCTCTATGGTGGGAAAAAAGTTAAAGGAGAACGTTTCCCCCCCCCCAATGCGGGCATCGCAGCTGCCGCCGAGAACAGCGACGGTGGCCATAACCTTTTAAAGAGCCCCTCCCAAGAGCTGGGGGAGCCAGAATGACCATGCGAGAGGTGGAATTTGCCCCTACAAGTCCAAGGCCACCACCCTGGGACTCAGGGAGGTAAGGGAACGTTTCACCCCACCCCTTCCCCCCCACCCCCGCGGGCATCGCAGCTGCCGGCGAGAACCTCGGCAGCAGCCATAACTTTTTAAAGAGCCCCTCCCGAGAGCTGGGGGAGCCAGAATGACCTCTCGCATTACACACAAGAGGTGGAATTTGCCCCCACGAGTCCAAGGCCACCACCCAGGGGCTCAGGGAAGCAGGAGAACATTTTGCCCCGCCCCGCCCCTGCACGGGCGTCACAGCTGTCACCGAGAACAGTGAGGGCGGCCATAACTTTTTAAGGAGCCTCGATGGAGAGCTGGGGGAGCCAAAATGACCTCTCGAGCGAGAGGTGGAATTTGGCCCTACGAGTCCAAGGCCACCACCCCGTGGCTTAGGGAGGCGGGGAACGTTTCCCCCCCCCACTGTGTCCCAACTGATGGCTGGTGGGAGCAGGGGGCGGGGCTTATGTGCCCACCCCCTGGGCTCCTGACTGGTGGAGCGGTGCTCCGGTGTGCTCCGGCAGGAACCGAGGCCTGCAAGTGGTAGGGAGATTTCAACGGAGATTTCAGCATTGCTGAGCAATGGCAGCTTTCCAGTGTGTTTCCTGAGCCCCCCCCCCCCGCAGCCTCTGATCAGGAGCCAGAATACATAATACTCCTGCCCTCTTCATTGCCCAGGCGTTTTGAAACATGGCCTGAAAGTGTGTGTCTGCCCCAGGATGCCAACTGGCAGGTCACCCCCAAAGTTTTTTTTGGTCCACAATTTCTTCTCCATGGACGTGCCACATCTAGTAAGGTAGCTATTACCCCATCAATGCTTTGCCCTCTTTCATCTCTGATCTCTTAAGATCACTTCAACCCTGTATTTCTTAGCTCTTGTGTATGTGTGTGTATGATATTTTTTTTGATTAACTGAATTTATTAGGGATATTTTCTTAATAAACTTCATAAAAATATTTCCTGTCTGTTGTCTGTGCTGTTCCAAGTGGGTTCTGACTCTGGTATAGTTGGAGTACGATTCCTAGCTTGCGCACCTATTAAGCAAATGGTCTCTTAGCTAATTTCCCCATCGTAACTCAGAGATCCAGGTGTTGTGGCTAACAGTATTAGACAGGTGGGCTAGCTTTTCTTGTTTTCTTTCTGTATGATTGTAGAGTAGTGTGTTGCCAGTAGAATAAATCTTTATTTGACAGAATTTAAATAAACTTTATAAAATATTTTTTAAAAAATAAACATTGTCTGGTTACTTGTGTGCAACAAGCCCTGGGGACCCACGGGGTCCAGCCTTTGGACTTGACAGGGGCCTTGTACATATAGAGAGAGTTTTCTTGGATGTGTCCAGTGTTTTCTAGGGATACCTCTCACTTTTATCCTAAATGAGACAAAAAGGAAAAAATAAACCTTAAAAAAAGCTAGGAAGTATGTTTGCCAACTGCCTGGATAGAAAAAATTCCTGTCTTTAATAGAACTTTAATGTGATATTATTTATCTCCATACTGTGAAATGCTTCAGCTGCACATCAAGTCTTAAAGGGACAACATTCTTCCATGTGCTTGTTGCCAGTCCTACTAAGAAATCCTGTCTCCAGATGATGAATGTATGAGTCTGTTTTTTAAGTCTATGGAGGCACACTTCTTGGACTGGCACCCCTAAAATATTGGTGACTAAAGCAACAGTTGGGGGCTGTGGGATATGCTGTTCTATCTCCCTGTCTTTGCTTCTGTAAAAACACGTATTCAGTCTGTTAATCAAATCCTTACTGTTTGTTCCTGATTACTTCCTCAGTATGTGTTTCAAATTGCCTGTCAAAGAGGGGCTGTGGTTCAGCGGGAGAGCCTTTGCTTTGCATGC